AATTTGTATAAACATTTCTTTCGTGAGGGTAATGAGCGTGCGGATAGATTGTCGTGGGAGGCCAGAGGTGGCCAAAGTATTACTCGTTGGTTTGCATATGATCAGTTCCTCAGTACTCGTAAGACTGCTCTCCGTGGTGCATTCGATGGGGGTGTCAGTAATGAAGGATGTGGAGGCGGGTGGTGGCTTCGGATTGGTGTAGTAGGTAGTGGTTCCAGCGTGCAGGTTGATTTTCCCCTCTCCTCCTCCTCCTCCTCCTCCTCCTCCTCCTCTTCCTCCTGTATCAGCTCGCAGAGCTTCCATTGGCACGATGTGGCCGAGGAGGCGATGAGCTTGCCTCCAGGTAGCGCGGTAACCTGCTGCGAACTAGCTGCCTGCGCCGCCTGACGAGAGCTGCTGCTAAGGTGGCGTGCGCTCTGCTGCAACCTACCTAAGGTGGGGGTGGCTCAGTTGCACTGTTCCGCCGATTCGGATTCGGATTCTAGTGGCGGACCGTAAACCGCTAAAAAACAACCAAGGTTGATTGTTTACCGCCGGCTCCCAGTTTGGGTTCACCAAATCAAATGGTGGCAGGTCCCACGACCAACTCGAAGGGAGCTCCCGAGTCAACCTGACAGCGCCCAGCGGGAGATCCTCGAGCGCAGAGCGTAAGCGCGCGCGAAACGCGCGTGGTTCCACTTGATGGATGCCTGGGTACATCAGTTCACAGGTGTGCATTTTGTACTCGTTTGTACAGTTGTTTATATTTTTATTTTCGGCTGTTTGGATGAAGGTATTTGGAAAATACATTCACTAATCCCATGTGATTGGGTGTTTGGACGAATGTATTGTTGGATTGATGTAGGAGCGGGCGGGTGTATAGATGTGCGCGCGTACGGATGTAGCACAAGGCAGGCACGTGCCAGAACCCGAGCGCGCGCGAAACGCGCGACAACCCCTCGAGCTCCCAATGGTCCCAATGGCTCAGCCGCACGCGCAACCTGGCCCTCTGCCTGAGGCCCCCTAGGTGAATCACGGGGCCTCCAGGGCTTCCCCAGGGCCGCTCAAAACGGGGCACGAATGCCCGACCACAGCGACCCAATAGAGCAGAGCGGCAGCTCGAGCGCTGCAAGGCGGCTCGAGACGATCTAAACAACCCTCCTGACTGGCCCAGGGGTCTCGGAGCACACAATCAGCGATGTTTCGTTGGTTCCCAATCTGATTTTCGCATATTAGCTTGTCCGCACGTCCTGGCGCCCACGACGGGCAAAGAGGCCTCCGAACTCGCCCCTCGACGGCCAAAGAGAGTCCCAACAGGGCCCACGAAGGACCCGCGCTGGCCCGATAGGGGTCGAAGGCGGCTCAAAATGGCCCCACGAACGCCCCCAGAGTGGCTTAAGACTGAGTGCCCCCCAGACGGGTGCAGAACGTCCCACGGGATCCAAGAGGGCTGCCCAAGATGGGCCTATCGATCTCCATTCAGTCGCATTCAGGAGTTGGTCGCTCGTGTCCCCCCTCGATCCCGCGTTCCATACCCTCCTTGCTATTACCTCTTATCGTTTAGTTTCGGGGAGTCTTGAGCGGGTCAGTCGGTATGCCACTCGCGCACGGGCCTGGCAGCCTGCTGGGCCGATTTGCAGGTGAGCTCCGCCTGCGGACCTCATCCTCGCTGCTTGCCAATACCATCTTGTTCTCGGACCGGCCAACATCGGCCGAAGAGTTCTGCAGGCGACGTCCGCCTGTTGTCAGCGCAGCGATTCCCGCTCATCACAGTTCAGGCGCTGGTCGCTCGTGTCGTCCTTCGATCCTGCTTCCCATGCTCTTCTTGCCATTACTTTCGATTGTTTAGTGACATGGGGTTTCCAGCAGTCCCTCCGTATGCCACTCGGGCGCGGGCTTGTCAGGCTGCTGGGCCAATTTGCAGGTGAGCTCCGCCTGATGACAACAACGCCTGTGCTGACCAACGCCCTTTTCCTCTCGGACTGGCCAAGATGAGCCGAAGAGATTTGCAGGTGCCGTCTGCCTGTTGTCCAGGCGGCAGTTTCCGCTCATTACAGCTCAGGAGCTGGTCGCTCGTGTCCTCCTTCTCCATCCTACCTTCCATACTCTCTTTGCCATTACTTTTGATTGTTCGGTGACAGGGAATTTCAGCGGGTCACTCCGTATGCCACTTGCGCACAGGTGTGTCAGGCTGCTGGGCCAACTTGCAGGTGAACTCCGACTGCAGACAGCAACGCCTATGCTGACGAATCCCGCTTTGCTCTCGGACTTGGCCAAGATGCGCCGAAGAGATTTGCGGGTGACGTCTGTTTGCTGTCATAGCAGCCGTCCGCTCATTACAGGTCAGGAGACAGAGTCGACACCACCACCTCCAGAGGGGGAGGTGGGAATGGAGGTAGGAGGAGGAGGAGGAGGAGGAGGAGGAGGAGGAGGAGGAGGAGGAGGGAGGAGGAGGAGGAGGAGGAAGGAGGAGGAGAGGAGGGGAGGAGGAGGAGAGGAGGAGGAGGAGAGGAGGAGGAGAGGAGGATGAGGAGGAGGAGGAGGAGGAGGAGGAGGAGGAGGAGGAGGAGGAGGAGGAGGAGGAGGGAGGAGGAGGAGGAGGAGGAGGAGGAGGAGGAGGAGGAGGAGGAGGGGGAGGAGGAGCTGGTCGCTCGGGCCCTCCCTCCATCCTGCCTTCCATGCTCTCCTTGCCATTACTTTTGATTGCTCAGCGACGGGGGGCCTCCTCCAGCGGGCCGCTCGGTGCGCCACCCGCGCTCGGGCGGGGCAGGCTGCGGGCGGCCGCTCTGCAGGCGAACTCCGCTTGCGGGCAGCACATCGCCCCTATTTGCGGAGACTCTTGGGCTCTCGGACCGGCCAAGAGTGGCCGGAGAGATTTCCGGGTGACGTCCGCCTTCTGTCAGGCGCAGCGTTTTTTTGCTCCTGAGAGCTCGGGAGCTGGTCGCTCGTGTCCTCCCTCTTCCCTGCCTTCCACACCCTCCTTGCCATTGCTTCTGGTTGCTCAGCGACGGGGAGCCTTCAGCGGGTCTGCCGGCATGCCACTCGCGCTCGGGCGTGTCAGGCTGCTGGGCCGATTTGCTGGTGACCTCCGCCTGCAGACGGCATCGCCTCTGCTGACCAACACCGTTTTGATTTCGGGCGGGCCAAAGTCGGCCGAGGAGAGCGTTCCAGGGCCGCGTGAGCCGCAGAGACCAAGGATTACCGCGCCAGGCAGAGCCCCATGACCGTAACAGGCATGCAACGAGCTCCTTCTACAGACCCTCGAGACAGGCCTAAGACCGTGGTGGCAGACGTTGCCGCAGGCAGCAGCGAAGGCAGGAGGGCCTGGTAGGCACGGCGGCAGGGATGGTGGATCGAAGGAAGGGAAAGAACGAGAAGGAACGGGAGAAGGAAAAAGGGGTGGAGAGGGCATCGTATTTATTGCGTTGCATATGTGGGGGCGAGCACGGGGGACAACTTTCGCCTAGTGTTCGAACGCCGTGTTGTTCTTTACGCGCATCTGGTTCGCACTCGTCTCTCTGATGCTGCACTCTGTAGGATACAGCCGCAGCTTGCTAGAACCTGAGCACGCGCGCGAAGCGCGCGCGTCGTTCTAATCCGCATCTGGAAGGGATCCTTCAGGAGGTTCCAGGCTGGAGGTGTCAGACGTGAAGGGGTTGTCAGATGCGGGGGGATGTTCCCTTGACGTGGAACCCTTCCAAAGGCGGTCTGCGGCTTTGGGGAACAGACGTGGATGAGGGTGTCAGACGTGGGAGGAGACTCCCGTGCAACCGAGGGTTCTTTCGTCGGGCATCGAATGTGTCCAACGAGATTGGAGATGCGAGGGGGGTGTCAAACGTGGAGGGGGCTATCAGCCGCGGGGGATGCTCTCCTCCTCCTCCTCGTCCTCCTCCTCCCTCCTCCCTCCTCGTCCTCCTCCTCCTCCTCCTCCTCCTCCTCCCTCCTCCCTCCTTCCTTCTCCCTCCTCCCTCCTCCCCTCCTCCTCCCTCCTCCCTCCTCCCTCCTCCTCCCTCCTCCCTCCTCCCTCCCCTCCCTCCCTCCTCCTCTTCCTCCTCCTCCTCCTCTTCCTCTTCCTCTTCTCTTCCTCTTCTTCTTCTCTTCCTCCTCTCCTCCTCCTCCTCTTCCTCCTCCTCCTCCTCCTCCTCCTCCTCCTCCTCCTCCTCCTCCTCCTCCTCCCATCCCTCGTGTCCTCCACCTCGTGACCTCCACCTCGTGGCCTCCACCTCGTGTCCTCCACACGCGGAAGGGGGCCGTTGGACGTGGGAGGCGTCCCCCTGCAGGGCGGCGCCCCGAGGGCGCGAAGATGACCGCGCGTCGTGCATCGTGGGGCGCGATGCCCTGAGTGAGGTTATCCAGGTAGCCTTCGTCTTCTACCACCCCCCCCCTCCTCCTCCCCCTCCTCCTCCTCCTCCATCCCTCCTCCTCCTCGTCGTCCTCCTCCTCCTTTCCTTCTCCTCCTCCTCCTCCTCCTCCTCCTCCTCCTCCTCCCCCTCCTCCTCCTCCTCGTCACGAGGGCTCTGAGCGGCCGGGATTCTTTACCTGGGCCTAGTCTTGTACCAGCATTCCACCTTCCACGCCTCCCATCCGCTTTCCTGCGCAGTCCTTTGGGCTCAGGCTCCCCCCTCCTCGAGGAACGGCCAGGAGGGGGTGCGCGGGGAGGCGACTGCCGCTGTGGCCGCGGCCGGCGGGCATTTGGCGCAGGCATGGCGACGCCAGGGCAGCTGCAGATGTATAACAAGATGGAGGTCGGTGAGATGTTCGGGCTGGACCACCGGGCCGAGGACCCCAGGACTGGCGCGATCCACCGCGTGCACATCTATCCAGACGAGAAGGTGCCCGACGCGTGCGTCTTCCACATCTCGGGCGTTGACGGAAGTGCCCCTGGCCCAAGGTGGCCTCAGGTTCTGGGCCTTCGGCGTCCCTCGCACAGGGCCATTTGGGGTCGCCAGCGGCTTCTGGGAAGCCCTGGGGACATCTTGGGCCAGGACCGCGACTGCCGACGCCCGAACATCTGGCTGGAGGATCACACCCTAGGCAATATCCTCCGCATGGAGCTGCTGAGGAACGAGGCGGTCCTCTTCGCCGGCTACAAGGTGCCCCACCCGCTGAACCACATGATTGAGCTGCGGGTGCAGACGCTGCCGAAGACGACGCCAGAGGCGGCGGTCCGGCACGCGGTCGCAAACCTCAGGTCCGAGTGCAGGTCGATGCTGGATCAGTTCGACAGCCAGGTGCGGGACCTGGAGGCGCGGGCCGCCAAGGACGCGCCCACGGGGGCGCTGCTGGACGAGGACCGCCTCCACACCACCGACGCTGAGGGAACCGGGGCGGACGGGACGACCAGCGGTCCCGAGCCCGAGGCGCCGTACTCGCCCTACTCGCCTGGGGTCGACGACAGGGACCAGCGTTTTCAGGAGCAGCTCGAGGAGTTCGAGCGGCTGGCGGGGGGCCAGGACGACGCCAGCATCCCGAGCAACAGAACACGGCGTAAGCACAGCTGTTCGAAGGTCCGCGCTGACTTCTCTGATTGGCGCTGGGCACCACTCCCATGGCGCGCGAAACGCGCCAAAGGGCGGCGAGGAGGCGCCGTCGGGTGGGGGGGGTTCAGCGCCGACCAAAGGAAGGCTTTCCGACCTCCGAATGGTCATGCTAAATGCTAGTGACGCTGTTAGTCCTCGCGAGGACGACGTCACAATCCGCCCCTCCTAGCACCCCTGACGTCCCCACCACCTCACCGCCCACGCCACCACCCCCATCACCACCCTGACCCCACCACCACCCAAACTTTTTTGATCCGCGGGTCGAGAGCGCACCTCTTCCAGTCGAAGCTAAGCGGGCCGCGCATTGATTTAATTGACAGAGGGGGGAATGTAGGAGGAGGGGCCACCACCACCCAAACAGGCATTCACACGACCACCACCACCTGACCCCCTCTGCCTCCACCCTCCGGGTGGAGGTGGTGGTGCGTTTGCTGTGCCCTACATCGGAGGGCGCCGACTATGTATATACCTGCACTTGTTCTGGCTATGCCCATCCCAAGCCCTGGCTCTGTGCACGCCCCCTGGGCCAAGCCAGGGGTTGAGAGTGTGCACCGATCCTGGGCGCAGGCCAATGGGGAGTGGGAGGAGATGGGAAGAGGAGTGGGAGGAGATGGGGAGAGGGACGGTGGCCAGGGGGGAGGATCGGGTACAGCCAGGACCCCAGGTAAGGGGACCCGGTTGGTGGTAGGGCCCCGGTGATGGAGGGGAAAAGGAGTGGGAGGAGATTCGGAGGTGGATAGACCTCCCACCCTGACACGTCGATGAAGGAATTTGGCCGTTCTCGGTTCGCGAGAGGGCGTCGCGGCCGCCGTTTCTGCGGGTCCAGGTCCGTCGGTTTCGGTCCCAGGCCGTTTTCACTAAGGGGAGGTTTACTAAAGGGAGGTTTGTCCACCGCCGAGAGATGGGGAGGGGGACGGTGGCCAGGGGGGAGGATCGGGTGCAGCCAGGACCCCCAGGTAGGGGGACCCGGTCAGTGGTAAGGCCGCGGAACCCCTAGATAGGCCAGAATCACTAAACCAGGTCTGCCGTAGCTGGTGTTTTTTTCGGGTGACGGCAGTTCGGGTTTGTGGGAAAGGGGCGGGGGGGCGGTCCCCCAGTACACATCAACAAACCAGGTCCCATTAAACCCAGTTCTGCCAACGCCCGAGAGGAGGGAGAAGGGGATGGTGACGGAGAGAACGAGGGGTGCGCGTGCACAGCTCTCGTTTTTCCCCAGACGTCCGACGATGCAATTTTTCAAGCCGCGTCCCCATGGGGTCCCGACCCCTTCCCGAGGGGTAGTTTTTGGCACTGGATCCATTTTTGTTGGCCGTGGGGCCTGGTAACGGGCCCCAGAGCCCGAGTCGATGCAAATCGCCCAGAGTGAAAATCAGATCGCCGGAGATCTGGGCTCTCGTCCATCCAAGGACGACGTCAGCATCAGCCCCTCCTCCTCGCCTGCCAGGGGCGGCGCTGGAGGCGCCTCCAGGGGGAGGGGGTCCAGCGCCGACCCAAGACAGGCTTTCGGACCTCGGGAACGTCATGCTCATGACGTTTGTTTGTCCTCGCGAGGACGACGTCAGCATCAGACTCCTACCACCCCTGATGTCTCCACCTCCCCACCTCCCACCACCCACACCACCAGGGTCACCACCACCCTGACGCGACCACCACCCTGACGCCACCACCACCCAGAAATGTATCTACGCACACGACCACCACCACCTGACCCCCTCTGCCTCCACCCTCCAGGTTGAGATGGTCGTGCGTCTCCTGTTCCCCTATATCGGAGGGCGCCGAACATACACCTGCACCCATCCTGGCCAGGCCCATCCCAAGCCCTGGATCCGTGCATGCGTTCATGACGTCTTCGCCCCTCGCGAGGACGACGCCAGCGTCGGCCTCTCCTGCAGCCGACGTCCCTGCCCCACCACCCCTCGCCACCACCACCACCACCACCACCACCACCACCACCACCACCACCACCACCACCGACCGCCACCACCACCACCCACCACCACCACCACACCACCACCACCACCACCACCACCACCACCACCACCACCACCCAACCACCACCACCACCACCACCACCACCACCACCACCACCACCCCACCACCACCACCACCACCACCACCACCACCACCACCACCACCACCACCACCACCACCACCACCACCACCACCACCACCACCACCACCCACGCCACCACCCCACCGCCCAAGACAGGCTGTGTTCATGACCCTGAGATCCGGCGTAGCGGAAAACTTGTAGCACCGCAGGAAGTCACGCCCGGAGCCCTAGACCCCATCCCTCTTCGCCATCTTTCGAGCCGCATCGATCTGGGAGCGCCCCGGGGCCCGAGGCGGGGCGGAAAGGGCGCCCAGTGCCCGCCTCAAAAGTGAGGCGGCAGGCTCGGAGGGTGTGGTCGTAGGACCTTTCCTGCCCTCGCGAGGACGACGTCAGCATCAGCCCCTCCTTCTCGCCCGCCACGCCGCAGGGTGGCGCGCGGCCGGCCGGCAGCGCCGGCGGTGCCGCGGGCACGCCGCCCGCGGGTGTCGGCGAGGGGCCTCCCGCGGCCGGCGGGGGCGGCGACGCTATGGAGGCGTAGCGGTCGCGCGGGGCTCCGCAGAGCGAGCGCGGCGGCGTGCATCGCTCGGGCTCCAGGCCTCCCAGATGGGGTCCGAGGAGCAGGGGGAGGACGGGGAGGAGGAGGGGGAGGAGGAGGAGGAGGAGGAGGAGGAGGAGGGGGAGGAGGGGGAGCAGAGGGAGGAGGAGGAGAAATAGGAGGAGGAGGAGGAGGAGGAGGAGGAGGAGGAGGAGGAGGAGGAGGAGGAGGAGGAGGAGGAGGTGGACCAGTGTAAGCCCAAGAGTCATCAACGATGTTGGAGTTAACCCTCCCTCCAAGGTCCCTCGTCATTGGCCCCTTCAACGGTTCATTTCTATTGTTGGAACTGCGTCGTTGGAAGACACCCGTTTGAAGACCCTGAACCATGCCAAAATATTGTTCTCGGGATTCCAACGCACGGATCAACTTGCCGGTTGCGGCTTGACGATCTTGAATCGTGCCAGAAACTCACTCCTAGAATTCCAACACGGATAATCAACGTAACTGCTGCACCCGCGTAATCCTGAATCCTTCCCAAACACCATTTCTGGTACGTTGATGAAGGGAACCCGGGAAACTCTTGCACCCTTTGGAAACGAATATGCGCCGCGCCAAGGCGAGAGCCTCGTTCTGAAAAGGAACCGCCTTCAATCCGTGAAATCTGGCAAATTTTCAAAACGAATGTGCACCGCGCTAAGGCGAGAGCCTCATTTTGAAAACGACTCGCTCTCAATCCGTGGAACTTTTGCAATGTTTTAAGCCGAATGTGCGCCGCGCTAAGGCGACAGCCACATTTTGAAAACCACCCGCCCGCAATCCGTGAACCTTTTGCAAATTGATAAAAAATTGCGCCGCGCTCAGGCCAGAGCCACTTTTTGAAAACGACCCGCCTTCAATCCGTAAAAGTCTCTTGCACCTTTTGAAAACGAATGTGCGCGGCGCTAAGGCGAGAACCACATTTTGTGAAACTGTTGTTTCATCCTTCAGAGTCATCAGTGGTGAGGAAGTCTCAGGCGAAATGCCTGGCCCGCCCTAAAACTGGCCGGAGGGTGCGACAGGGAGAAGTCATTTATAAGGAAAAGGAATACAAAACGGAGGAGGAGGAGGAGGAGGAGGAGGAGGAGGAGGAGGAGGAGGGGAGGAGGAGGATTGAAAAGGAAAGAGAAGGAGAGGAGGAGGAGGAAGGAGTTCGGAGGAGGAGGAGGGAGAGGAGGAGGCGGAGGAGGAGGAGGAGGAGGAGGAGGAGAGGAGGAGGAGGATCGCGCCACGATGTGGAGTCCGATTTTCTCCACGCTGGCGTCGCCGATGCATCGCTGATGTCGCCGATGCATCGGCGAGGCAATGCGGCGCGATCCTCTGACCCCATCTACTTCGACCCCATCTAGGAGACCTCTAAAAGAGCGAGAGCATCGGCGTGCCTCCCAGGCCCCCTCGCGTTGTGAAAAAGTCCCGACAGGAGGTTTTTCGCCATCTTCGGCTCCCGGGGGCCCTCAACCGGGCCTCGAGGCCGTCAAAAAACGACTCGGGAGGAAGAACCGGTCCAGGGGAAGGGGTCCAGACCTCTGGGGGTCAAGGTGGCGAAAAAATCACGACGTCGGGACTAGGCTCTCGGCTTGGCATCGCTCGGACGTGTACATTTTTTTCGGCGAGGGCCCTCGCATCTCGGGTCACATCTTGCGATCAAAAACACGCACGGAACCGAACAAAATGCACGGGGAATAGACGTCCGAATGATGGCAAGCTCGGGGGGCAGGCAATGACATTAACATCAAGGCTCGGAGGTCCGCGCGGATTCCTCGGATCGGCGCTGGACCTCCCTCCCTGGCGCGTGCGAAGCGTGTCAGGGGCGGCGCCAGAGGCGCCGCCAGGGGAGCCCAGCGCGGATCCGGAGGATTCCGGGCGGGCTTCATGGTTTTCATGTTTTGCCATTGTTGCCCTATCTCCGCCACTCCAGCCCTTTGCCCCTCGTCGTCGCGGGGGAAACACGACGGGAGGTCTGGCGGCCGTTTTCGGCCTGCGGAGGCCCTCCCATCTTTTTTCCTCTCCCTGCCTCTTGACGGTTCTTGCTCGTTCGTCCCTCCTTTTTTCTCCCTCATCCTCTTCTTCTTCTTCTTCTTCCGACTTCTCCCTTTCCCTTCGCCCTTCTACTTCGTCCCATCGTCTCTCGTTCTTGCCCTGTCTATTCTTGGGTCTTGTGCTTGTGGTGTCCAGTACGTCCACGCTCCGCAGACTTCGAACGTCCACTTCACCGCTGCAAGAGCTTCCCCCGGCCCGCGAAGCCTGGACAGTGGTCCTCGGATCCAGCGACTTCGAGTCTCGAGTCACACTCGCCGCCATGTTGCGCGCCACTGCTACTGCCAGCCTCGCGGCTCTCGCGACCGCAGCGCCCAGGTGCCTCCTGGCGGGGGTCGTCAATCTCGAGCATCCTTCTGTGGCAATTGGTTCGTCCAGAGGGTACGCGGGACCGGTTGGGGGTGTGCGGTTTTCGCACGGAGAAGGGGGAGGAGCAGAAGGTTGAGGTGGGGGCAGGGAAGACGATGATGTGTTTCTGGTGGGAGGGAGGATGATGAAGGAGGGTAAAGGAGGAGAAGGAGGAGAAGGAGGACGAGGAGGAGGAGGAGGAGGAGGAGGAGGAGGAGGAGGAGGAGGAGGAGGAGGAGGAGGAGGAGTAGGAGTAGGAGTAGGAGTATGAGTAGGAGGAGGCCGTCTTGGGGGTCTTCGGAGCCATCTCGGAGCTTGTCTGGGCCACACCTGCAACCGTCTTGGGCGAGCGCGGAGCCGTCCTGCGACCTGGGAAGCTCACGAGAAGCAGAGTGGCCAGCATGCCGAAACCATCGACGCACAACGGAGGCCTGGAGGAGGAGGAGGAGGGCGGAGGAGGAGGAGGAGAAGGAGGAGAAGGAGGCTGATGAGGAGGAGGAGGACGAGGAGGAGGAGGAGGAGGAGGAGGAGGAGGAGGCGGATGAGGATGAGGACGAGGAGGAGGAGGATGAGGAGGAGGAGGATGAGGATGGGGGCTGCCTCGGACCGTCTTGGGCCCTTCCGCTGTGGGCGAGAGATCTCGGCGTCCCGGCCCCTCCCCCCGGGGCAGGACCCCTCTCGCTGCCACAGGTCTCGTCGTCATGACGGGGCGCTTGGCATCGCTCGGACGCGCGCGTGTTTTTTTCCTTTTGCGAGGACCTCGAGGAGCTCCTTGGCTCATCTTGCGAAAAGAAGGCACGGGGAATGGGACGTCCCAGCGATGGCAAGGGCGCGCGCGTCGCGCGGTCTCCGCCGGAGGCAGCTCCGAATGGCCGCCCGCGGCGCGCTGGCATCCGCTCGCGGCGACTCGACGGCGCCGCTGTCGTCTCGGTTTCCGGGTCGGCCCCCGCGCGCGGCCAGCGCCTGCGGGTCTCGCCGTGCTTCTCGCGGTGGCCTGGCATCCGTCGGTTCGTTCCTGCGTCGACTCGCGTGGTTCCTCTTTACGTCTTTCTCCGCTGGGCTTTTGGCCTCTCGGATACAGCCATCTCGTGGCCTTTCGCTCCTTCCCTTTTCGCCTCCCCTGCCCTCCTCCCTCTTCTTCCCCAGTCTCCTCTTCTTCCCCCATCCTGGCCCTCCCTTCTCTTCCTCCTCCATTCCTGCACCCGCGAGGCAGCAACGTCAGAAATCTAAATCATTTCTTCCCGCATCGTCTAGCGAGTGAACACACGGAGGGGCTAACGCGAGGGTCGGGGGCGGAAGCGGGTCAGTTTGGGGCATGATATCACAAGGATGGTGGTGGTGGTGCTGCTGGTGGTGGTCATGATGGTGAGATCGGGGAGCATAGGGTATGGTGAGGAGCGACGCGGGGGGAAGGGTTGGATTTAGAAGAGCTGGAGGGAATGTGAGGTGGAGCGGAGGGCGGACTGGGGGATGTATGTGAGGGCAGAGATGGGGCGGCGGGGCTGGGGCGAGGAGGGCGGGGCGGAGGTGGGATGGCACGGAGGAGCGTGGGAGGAGGCGGAGGAGGCGGAACGGGCATCGAGGGGCAGGAGGGGGGCGAGGTGGCCCCCGTGGCGCTGCGGGCGCTCGGCTCTGGGAGCGCGAGCGCGCCCGCCTCGCCCGTTCGCTGCTGGGCTGCAGGGAGCCGCGGCGATGGCCTGCGGAGGCCAGTGGCCCCCCCGTCCTTCTCCTGCGCCTCCTCCCCTACCCCTTGCCCTTGCCCTCCCTCCCTCCCTGCCTCCCTTCCCGTCTCCCTCCCCTCCGGTTTCCTCGCCCTGCCTCCTCCCTTTGGCCTCCTCTTCCGCCCCCTCCTCCTGGCTCTCCTCCTTCCTCCCTCGCTCCTCCTCCTCCGCCGTCCTTGGCCAGCTCGATGGCCTGGCTGGCATTAGGCCTGCGCCTTGTTGAGGGCCTCCCTCCCCGCTGTTTTCCTGAAGAACAGGTCCTCCCTGTCGCACCCCCAGACGTGTAGGCAGGGTGGGCTGGTAGTTTCACCTGAGACTTCTTCGCCACGTATGTCTTGAAGTTAAAAGCTGCACCAATTTTACGGATGCGGGGTTGGAGGTTTCAACATCGGGCTCTTGTCTTAGCTCCGCGCGCATTCGTCTTGGAATCTCTTTTTGCCCACACGTTTTTTGGGGTTCTCGTTTTCTTTCCACCCGCGTCGCACCCGCGTTTTCATTACACCCGCCTCCCTTCCTCTCCTGCCTTTCCTTCCTCCTCTCTCCCACGCGCAACACATGTACGGCACGTATATGAGACGCGCGCCTACATACAGCCGCACGCATGCACACATTCGCACACACACACACACATCATCATACAACGCGAGTGCACACCTGGCGTGTTCACTGTATCATACACCCAAAAAGGATGCGCCACGTACTGGGCACCCACATGAGACACACACACACACCTACACGAGACACACGTCTAGATACAACCGCACACGCGTCATACACATAAACGACACGCCATGCACAATACATACGCGTAGGACCCGCAGTGCATGGCAGGCGTGGCACTGTCTCGACACCACAGAGGGTGCAGAGGTGGGTACGCTATCCGCTTCGAGCTTGCAGAACGTGGCAGGCGTGGTACTTCCTCGACACCGCAGGGAGTGCGCTGGGGTCGGGAGCGCTATCCGTTCGGGCTTGCTAGCGTGGCAGGCGTACTCCGAGTTTCTTGATAAGCGTCGGTGGGGCGTCACCTCCGCCGACAGCCTCACATCGACCCCCGTCGCGGGCAGCCACCGACAGCGCGCCGAAGGGGCTCCGACCCCCTTCGCGGCGCGACGACGAGGCGAGGTTGACCCTCGTCGGGGGGGTACCCTCCCGCGCTTATTAAGAAACCCGGGGTCGCATTTTCTCGACGCCACAGGGGGGGCGTCGTGCGTTGGGGGTGGGAGTGCTAGCCGTTTCGGGCTCGCAAAGCGTGGCAGGCGTGGCCCTTCCTCGACGCCACAGGGGTTCGCTGGAGGTGAGATCGTTTTTCGTTTCGGGTTCGCAAAGCGTGGCAAGCTTGACAGCTTCTCGACTTCAGAGGGGGTGCGTTGCCGGTGGGGCCGCTATCCGGTTCGAGCCTGTATCTTATCCAGAACTGTAGACACTATGGCTCAAGCTGGCTCGAAATGCGTGCTCTTCCACAGAGTCCCCCCCGGTAATCTTGTTTGAGGGCAGCCGCCGCCTTACCTGCGCGTGGCAGACATGCCGCCCAACATTGCCATGTACGCTCTGCCACCTCCGTGCTTGGCGATGAAACGCGCACTGATTCAGATGGGCGGCGAGGCCAGCGTGGAGAACTCGCGCAGATGCGCAAACGGAGTGCTGCTGTCCGCATTCAATGCGTACCGCCGCCAGCTTAGCAATAGGTGGCCTGATACGCACTACGCGAAGTACTCCGACATGAACGACGACGGCAAGAGGCAGGGCCTTGTGGCGTACCTGCGCAACCCTGCGTCGGGCGGATTCCCCAGGGAGGCTCTTTTAGATCAGACGGAGGAGAATCAGGAACGCGACGGCGGCCCGCCAGCGAAGGCTGGGCGAGTGCGCGAGGCTGGCAGCGCGGCTGCTCACAAAGAGCCCCCCTCCGCAGCGCATGCGACGCCCATGAAGGATTCGCCGACGAAGGCCGCACCGACGGAGGCCCGCCCGTGCAGGCTACCTCTGGCTGTTCTGCTGGCTACCTTTGTTCGGACCGTAGGCTTGGGCCGAGAGGCTGCCCAGGCGCCGCGCGAAGGCGTGCGCCGCCGCCGCCGCCGCCGCCGCCGCCGCCGCCGCCGTCGTCGCCGTCGCCGTCGCCGTCGCCGTCGCCGTCGCCGTCGCCGTCGTCGTCGTCGTCGTCGTCGTCGTCGTCGTCGTCGTCGTCGTCGTCGTCGTCGTGCTAGTCGTGGCTGTCGTAGTAGTAGTGATGGTGGTGACGGTGGCGGTGGTGGCGGTAGCGTGGTGCGCTCAGGACATGCAATAAGTGCGTTTCGGTTCTTCGGTGGCGTACATGGTGTGCGCCCCCCCCTCTTGGACGCCCCCTTCTTGGCCGCCCCCGATATAGGCCCTTCGGCGTGCCCCCCCCCCGCGCGTGCCTCCGGCGTACTTTCGGCGTGCTTTACCCGAGATGTCCACCCCCGCGCGTACCTTCGGCGCGCCCCCCCGCGTGGTGTGCCCGTGAGGCGCCGACGGGAACGCGCGAGGCGGAATCTCGGCAGAACCCGCCCGCGCGGGGCGCCCACGAGGCGCCCATGGGCGCGCGCCGGCCGGGCTTCGGCCGAACCCCCGGCGTACCCATCCAGTTCCTTGCGTAGTCGGAGTATCATTACGTAGGAGGTATGAGGATGAGGATGAGGAGGAGGAGGAGGAGGAGGAGGAGGAGGAGGAGGAGGAGGAGGAGGAGGAGGAGGAGGAGTGAGGAGGAGGAGGACGGAGGAGGAGGAGGAGGAAGGAGGAGGAGGAGGAGGAGTGGAGGAGGAGGAGGAGGAGGAGGAGGAGGAGGAGGAGGAGGAGGAGGTGAGGGAGGAGGAGGAGGAGGGAGGAGGAGGAGGAGGAGGAGGAGGAGGAGGAGGAGGAGGAGGAGGAGGAGGAGGAGGAGGAGGAGGAGCAGGCGCAGGCGCAGGCGCAGGCGCAGGCGCGGGCTTCCGCCGAATCCCCGGCGTACCCATTCAGTTCTTTGCGTAGTGGGGGTTTGATTAAGTCAGGCCTGACCCTCTACACGAAGAATATCAGCAAATCTTTAAAACATAATCTGGGGACGATTTTGTTTTGGACTATCCATTGTACGTTTGAATTTGTTTGGGGTATTTTTCGTCCAAAATTCGTTTGTAGGGGGACACGCCCGACCTAGGACTAGGAGTGCCGAGATGCACACATGTACAATGTTTGGGAGTAGGAGTTCGGAAGGTGGCGGGGCTTTTCAGAAGGCGGCGGGCTTTTTCAGAAGGCGGCGGGGCTTCTCAGAAATACTGCCGCCCTCTGAAAAACCGTCCGAGGAGGAGGAGGAGGAAGAGGACCACTAACATAATTAGTAGTAATATTTATAATAGAGTTCGCCATTTTATTATTAAGGATGTTATCATTAAGCGTATCCGTGCGACTACTCTTACGTCGACTACGACGACGACGGCGACTATTATTATTAATATTATTATTACTACTACTACTACTACTACTCGTACTACTACTACTACTACTACTACTACTACTACTACTACTACTACTACTACTACTACTACTACTACGGCTACTACTACTACTACTACTACTACTACCACTACTACTACTACTACTACTACTACTACTACTACTACTTACTAGACTACTACGGCTACTACTTACTGATGCATACTTACTACTACTACTATTACTACTACTACTATACTACTAATATACTACTACTACTACTATAACTACTACTAAACTACTAACAATACTGATTACTATACTACTACTGCTGCTACTACTACTACTACTACTACCACTCCTCCTCCTCCTCCTCCTCCTCCTCCTACTACTACTACTACTACTACTACTACTACTATTACCACTACCACCAGTACTGCTAGTACTACTGCTATTATTATTACCACTACTACTGCTACTACTACTTCTACAGCAACTACTACTATTATTACTACTACACTACCACTACTTCTACTGCTGCTACTGCTATTGTTACTGTTATTACTACTACTACCACAACTACTTCTACTACAACTACTACTACTGCTACTACTAGTACTAGTACTAGTACTAGTACTAGTACTAGTACTAGTACTAGTACTAGTACTACTACTACTACTACTACTACTACTACTATTGCTACTACTACTACTACTACTACTACTGCTACTACTACTGCTGCTTCTTCTGCCACCCACTACTACTACTACTACTACTACTACTACTACTACTACTACTACTACTACGACTACTGCTGGTACTACTATTAGTACTATTCTACTAGAACCACGATTCCTACCCGTAATTTTACCATTATTACCATTACTATTGATACTTTCTTTTCGACTCAGAAGCAGAGCATAATTAGTAATAAGGAAACCGCTAACATTACAGCGTTTACGAATCTGAAGACGACCAAGAAAACAATCACGACGAAAAAGGGTACCAAACTTTGTGTTCTAAATAATTAAAATATTAAGACGACACATAATGTTCATTTGCAGAAGAATAATACTAGTCCGACGAAGGAAAAAGTAAAACAATGAACAATTAAACTAGTGCTGCCATGCATACTATAGTTGCCCAGAGTAACGCGAATCATACCAAATGTTCACCAGTTTTTTTCCCAACCATCCTGTGGTGTTGGGTCCTCGTTTTGAAGAGACGGTGCCCCGCGTTCCTCTCCTTCCTCCTCCCCCTCCTCCCTCCTCCCCCTCCTTGCCTCTGCTCCCGGCACACCTCTCACACGTTTCGTAGCCCCATAGGGAACTCCACCGAAGGCCCCAGTGGGGGTGTCCACATGCGGTTCCCCCACCCAGGGCAGCGTTTCGTAGCCCCATAGGGAGCTCCACCGAAGGCCCCAGTGGGGGTGTCAACATGCGGTTCCCCCACGCAGCGTTTCGTAGCCCCAGAGGGAGCTCAACCGAAGGCCCCAGTGGGG